TAGGGAAAGCTGAAGTACTCGATGCTTTCTTTGCCTCTATATTCACGGACAAGGTTGGCTCCTGGACTGCGTTAAGTGATGCAAGATGGGATGAAGATGGACAGCCCTTGGTGGATAAAGAACAGGGTAGGAACTATTTAGAAAAAGCTAAATGTACGCAAATCCATGCGTCCGGACTTAATGCATCCGAGGGTACTGAGGGAGTTGGCAAATGTCATTAAGGAGCCTTTGGCCATTATCTTTGAAAAGTCGTGGAGATCGGGAGACAGCCCGAATGACTGGAAAAAGGAAAATGTAGTGCTGATCTTCAAAAAAGGGAAGAAGGATGATCCAGGGAACTGTAGGCAGGTCAGTCTTACCTCGATTCCTGGAAAAATCATGGAAGGGATCCTTAAGGAATCCATTTTGAGGGACTTGGAAGAAAGAAAAGTGATCAGGAATAGTCAGCATGGATTCACAAAGGGCAAGTCATGCCTGACCAGTCTGATTAGCGTCTATGATGAGGTAACTGGCACTCTGGACATGGGAAAGTCAGTGGTAGTGATATACCTTGACTTTAGCAAGGCTTGTGATACCGTCTCCTACAATATTCTTGCCAGCAAGTTAAGGGAATGTAGATTGGATAAATGGATGGTAAGATGGATAGAAATATGGCTAGAAGGCCAGGCCCAGTGGGTAGCAATCAACGACTCGATGTCAGGATGGTGGTCTGTTTCTAGTGGAGTGCCTCAAGGTTCGGTTCTAGGACCAGTTTTGTTCAATATCTTTATTTAATGACCCGGATGAGGGGATGGATTGCATCCTCAGCAAGTTTCCAGATGACTCTAAGATAGGGGGAGAGGTAAATATGCTTGAGGGAAGAGATAGGGTCCAAAGTGACTTAGACAAATTGGAGGATTGGGCCACAAAAATCTGATGAGGTTCAACAAGGATAAGTGAAGAGTCCTGCATTTGGGACGGAAGAATCCCAAGCATAGTTACAGGCTGGGAACCAACCAGCTAAGTAGTAGTTCTGCAGAAGAGGGCCTGGGGGTTACCATGGATGAGAAGCTGGATATGAGTCAACAGTGTGCCCTTGTAGCCAAGAAGGCTAATGGCATATTAGGGTGCATTAGGAGGAGCATTCCCAGGATCTGCAGAAAAGGACCTGGGGATTACAGTGGATGAGAAGCTAGATATGAGTCAACAGGGTGCCCTTGTAGTCAAGAAGACTAATAGCATATTAGGTTGCATTAAGAGGAGCATTGTCAGCAGTTCCAGAGATGTGATTATTCCTCATTACTCGGCTCTGGTGAGGCCACATCTGGAGTATTGTGTCCAGTTCTGGGCCCCCAATTACTGGAAGGATGTGGATGCATTGGAGAGGGTCCAGTGGAGGGCAACCAAAATTATTAGGGGGCTGGAGCATATGACCTACAAGGAGAGGCTGAGGGATTTGGGTCTATTTAGTCTGCAGGAGAGAAGAGTGAGGGGGGATTTGATAGTCTTCAACTTCCTGAAGGGAGGTTCCAAAGCGGCTGTAGAAAGGTTGTTCACAGTAGTGAGGGATGGCAGAACAAGGAGCAATGGTCTCAAGTTGTGGTGGGAGAGGTCCAGGTTGGATATGAGGAAAAACTATTTCACTAGGAGGGTAGTGAAGCACTGGGATTGGTTACCTAGGAAAGTAGTGGAGTATCCATCCCTAGAGGTGTTTAAGTCTTGGCTTGACAAAGCCCTGGCTGGGTTAATTTAATTGGGATTGGCCCTGCTTTGGCAGGGGGCTGGACTTGATGGCCTTCTGAGGTCTCTTCCAGCTCTATGGTTAACACACTAGCCACATGTGGCTATTTGTTGGTTGAGTGTAGCTAGTTGCCTTGAACAATAAAAGCTCAAAAATTGTTGTATTCACAAATTTTTTTAAAAATCAAAAAACAAAAATTTTCAGAGAACAAAAAAAAGTTCAGAACTTTCTGAGTTCTAAAGCTACTTTCCGTTAATTTGACCCATCTGCTAGATGAAGACTTCTGCCCGTTCATGGACTAGCTTAAATATGCTGCTTAGGCCAGAAATCATCAAGCATCATCATAAGCTATGGCTGGTATTTCTGGGTTCTAGATTTCAGTCACAAAAATGAATCAGTTTTGACAATGTGGGATGCACTTTTGCGACAGACTCCCTTTCCTATATTGAAAACTGCAGTTGCCAAACTTCCTGCCATGTTTGATTCAACATGGCTTTGTGTAGTGTCATTTTCTGTCACGATGTACATCAAGTTGAAGTATTGGTCACAGTTATTGGATGAAAATATGGAGGCCGAGTTGAGATGTGCTCTCAGGGAAAACATTTTGCCTGATTTCAGAGGTTTAGCAGTGAAACAAAACTCAAGTGTCCCATTGATTGAATTTCTGTAACGTGTGATGATTTCTGTTGATTAAAACCCAGGCCCGTGGGGGCAGAAAGAGTGCTTTTTTTGTAAATGTCATCCACAAGGGTGTGAATGCACCTCTCACTGTCCCCCACCTAAGCGGGGAAATCAGCTCTAGCCTAAACCTCAGCCAGTCACAACATGGTGGAGGGAGGCTCTGGCAGCACGCCATTCCTGCCTTCCCCTGGCCGGCCAGAGCATGCTTACTTGGGGAATCATAGAGAGGGGATGCTTTCGCACCCTTTGCACACACCCCTTGCATACAGGACTGAAACCAATGTTGAAGCGTTCTGTTGACGTGAAAAGACAAGAATTGGTATGATCAGAGAGTCTCACAAACTGATTTACATTTTCAATAATGTGGCTAGTTCACTATAGTGGGTACTGCTTCAGAACTGGCTGGACACCAGAGCTAGAGAGTCCTGGGCATCCTGTGACTGTTTTCTCTCCTGTGTTTAAAGACAGGTAGAGCCCTGTGCAGATACAAAATGTGTATCCACATCTATATCCACAAAAATGAGCTGCAGATATCCACATTGACATCCCAGGATGCAGATACCCTGGATCTAAAGCAGATATCTACAGATTTGCAGGGCTCTAAAGCTAGAGCTATCAAGCTCCATTGTTACTTTTAGTGATTGCTAGGGATTGATGTGGTGAAAGGACAGTGGTGAAAAGAATGGCAGTGCACACCCACCGATATCACTAAAAGCTGAAATCATTAAAAACATAGGTTAAGCAGCAGAACTTCAGAACATGGCATCACACAAGTGGCAGTGAGCATCTAGCAGCAGCACAAAGAACAAAAGAAGTGGTAGCTATTGATGTAAAATCCCATTTAATTGGTTAAACAATTTTTAACTGGTTCTCCCATGGGGAGGGGGGTGGATGAGGGGCTAGAGCACTACCTGACTGCCGCAGGCCCGTGGCGCTGGAGCAGCCCCCTGCCCAGGGCAGGGAGTCACTGCAGCCTCCACCAATTAACCAGAACCGGTAAGCCTCACCCATTAAGGGTGAGTCTCACCAGTCAACCATTCACATTCCTTGTGAACATGCATCTTAACTCTGGGTCTTTTTTAACCAAGGACAGCCAATTGTGAGTGGTACAGCATGATAAAGGGCCGTTTGTTCATCACAATTTTCATTGCAAGGTGGGAAATTGAGACAAATGACACTGGTGAGCATGCTCTGGGTTCCAGTTTTCCGTATGGTCACATGCTTTAGAATGTGCTTGTGGTGTTTTCCCAAACAATTGTTTAGCTCCCTTACCCTTTTGCTAAAAGTGCTCTTTGTTAGACTCAGACTCACTGTTTGGCACACAGGTTCTGCATCTTGGGTGCATCTATACAGCAGGGCTTAACTCGAAATAATCTACGTAAATTGAGCTACGTCAACTGTGTAGCTTATTTCGAAATTGGGAGCATCTACACAGCACTTATTTCAAGCACTCTTCTTCTGACTTCCCTTACTCCTCGTACAATGAGGCTACATCTACATTGGCACCCTTTTCCGGAAATGCTTAAAACGGAACAGTTTTTCCGTTATAAGTATTTCCGGAAAAGCACATCTACATTGGCCGGATTCTTTTCCGGAAAAGCACTTTTTCCGAAAAAGCGTCCGTGGCCAATGTAGACGCGCTTTTCCGCAAAAAAGCCCCGATCGTCATTTTTGCGATCGGGGCTTTTTTGCGGAAAAGACTACTGGGCTGTCTACACTGGCCCTTTTCCGGAAACGCTTTTCCGGAAAAAGGACTTTTGCACGAACGGGAGCAGCATAGTTTTTCTGGAAAAACACTGACAATTTTACAATAGATCATCATTGCTTTTCCGGAAAAGCAAGCGGCCAGTGTAGACAGCTGGCCACTTTTTCCGGAAAAGCGGCCGCTTTTCCGGAATAAGTGGCCCAGTGTAGACACAGCCTGAAGGTTTACAGGAGTCGAAGTAAGAAGTCCTCCAGCTTGACAGTATTCCAACATTATTTTGAAGTAACAGTGTAGACGTACCCTTAGAGACACCCAGGGGTAATAGTAAATTTTCCCAGATTACTTGGTGAAAGCTCACTAGCCCCACCAACAGGTCAAAACCTGGAATTGTTAGTGTAGCACCCTGCACCAAGCATATGTAACTTTTATAGCCAACTTTTGCTCAGTCAGTTTTCAGTCTAAGACTTATATTTCCAAAGGGGACCGCAGCTTCATTTGAAAATTTGTAGGGGGTCTTTAAATGAAAATAGGTGGAAAAATCATTGGCTTAGGTAATCCATCTCCCTAACAAGTGGTTGCTTGATTGATGAAGAATTCTTCCATCAACCTAGTGCTGGCTACATGGGAACTGAGGTCATCTTAATTATGCCATTCAGGGGTGTGAATTTTCACACCTTGGGCAATGTAGGTGGGTCAATCTCATCTTCTAGTTAGAGCAGCCCTTCAAAATAAAGGCTCACAGACCTCTGCTTTTTTTTTTTTTAGTACCACCCATCAAGTTTACTAGATTCATTACAGAGGGGATTAGAATTATGATGTAGCACTACTTTGGGGGAGAATAGTATTCCTTTAACGCTTCTGTAAGAGGAATATAGTCCCCAAAATTCCAGCAGGAAATCACAGGAGCACAGGTGTGAGGATACAGTAGTTACTGCAAAAGCTACAATCAATGTATTAAGGCAGAAGGTCCAGGTAAATTACTTAAATGTGTTTGTCTTGTTTCTTCCATCAGTACACAGCAAACTACTGCTGTAAATTGCATCTGGATGTGGTAGGGACCTTTGCATAACATTTTCATATGGTTAGGCTAGCTGTCAGATACTTTATAGAGGCTTTTTAGCTACCAGGGTTATAATACATGAAAAGAGGGAGAAAGGGAAAATGAGGGTCATCTCTCCCCACTGATTTTGTGCAACGACTGACTGACCTTTCCACCACCTACCAAAATCCTGTTGATAGGGCAGCAGCATAGCAGAAAACAGAAGCGGTGGAATGAGCTGCACAAACGCCACTATCCAGGGACAAACTGTGTGATAATGCTGATATCAAACTGTACCCAGTACACTTCAGCCCCTGCAAATCAGAACAGACCCACTGGCTTTTGCAGACTCCTCAGAAGGAACAAAAGGGAACAGAAAACCATGCCAGTTTTAAAGTGAGCAGCTTTATTCTACATAGACTGCACAGACAACCCTAAAAGGACCCCACATTTCACATACAAGTCTTTGGAAAAGAATGGTGTCCGAAGGGTACATCTTCATTGCAATCAGAGACTTGCACCTGGCCTGGGTCAGCTGATTTTGGTGCATAGGGCTCTGGCTGCAGGACTAAAAATGGCACTGTAAACATTCGAGTTCTGGCTAGAGGCCAGACTCTGAAAACCGACCAGACGGGGAAGGTCTCTGAGCCAGCTTCCTGCCTGAGGAGAATGCAAGTTTTAGCCCAGCAGCCCAAGCCCCGCGACCCTGAGTCAAATTGAGCTGGGCTGAAGCTCGGGTGCTGTGGGGTTTTATGGCAGGGTGGATGTATCCCAAGACATTGGAACCTAACTGGGACTGGAGGCTGCCTCTGCTGGGTTGTTCTGCTGACTGAAGTAACTGGAGAGCTCTTTCAGTGCTCTGTACCTATGAGAGATGGAGTTCTTCACTGCCTTGGGCAGCTCTGCGTACCTGGGAAGTGGGAGAAAACAGGGCTAGCTACAATCCCAACTAAGCATCTAAACACGGTTTACGTGGCAACTTTATCCCTCTGATTTCCAGCTGAGCCATTTTGAAGCTAAGCCCAGACCCTTCACTGTCTACCATGATGCCAGCATTAGAGATGCCTCTGGTGACAGACTAGATCTGCACCTTATGTAGTTATTACATTCATTTGCAGAAGCAGTTCCCTTGGCCTGCCTGCATGTGCGACTAGGGCCCCTCTATTGATTCCAAGCTTTACTTTATAACCATTTCTACTTGTGACTCAAGCAAGCTCTTTTGCCAGGCCTGACTGACCAAGCCCCTTTGTCATCTTAAGAGGGCAAGGAAGTGAACGCCGGTCAGTTACCTAAGAAGAGTCAGACCCTGGGCCTGCGTCTCCATTGCCCTGGACCGGTGCAGCTGTTTTGTTTTAGTGCAAAGCCACATCTGTCGATTTAACCGCACTGCTCTAGGTAGAACAGCCAGGACTCTGGTGGCACTTTAAAGACTAGCTAATTTGTTAGGGCATCGGCTTGTTGAGAATACAACTCACTTCCTCAGATGCAGAAAGAGAATAAAGGCACAGATACAGATATGGGAGTGTAACATCAGTGCTCATTAAATCAGAGTGGCTGCGGCTCACCAACAGTGATGAGCAGGTGATAATACTTAAGAAAAGCAGACTGCAAGGAGAAACTGCTGAGCTGGAAGTCATGCAAATGTGACAGTCAAAAGAGGTTTAAATAGAGACATGAAATGGCTCTCTAATTACAATAAGTAATTTCCCCTTCCATTCTGATTTAATTAGCACTGATGCCACACTCCCATCTCTGTATCCCTTCCTTTTTTCTTTTTTTTCTCTTTAAGCATTCAAAGAAGTGAAGCAGTATCTCATGAAAGCTTATGCCCTAATAAATGTGTTAGTCTTCAATGTGCCACCGGACTCCTTGTTGTTTTGCTAAAACAGACTAACACAGCTCCCCCTCTGAACCCTGTACTCTAACTATGAAGTTCACTTAAAGTCAGAATCAATAAAAAAAATTTGACTCCTACTGATCTGCAGTGGTTATTAGAAACAACAGCAAACCGCCCCTGCAGGCCTCCAAAGTCTGTGAGGATTTACAGGTGGGAAACAGTTCATTAGAAACACCTGCATACACAAGTCTCCTGGTTCTGTCCCACAGCCTTGGGATGGTCTGACTTGCGAGGTTCCGATCCACAAGCCCCCAACTCCTCAGTCAGAGCAGTTCAGATCTAGGCTATTGCTTTAAGCCCATCTCAGCTTCTGTCTGGCACAGTTCACTGTAAGTGGGTTCCACTTTCTGCATTAACAGAACCTTTGGTTTCTTCATTTTCTTACATAAAGAACTAAAGGCAAAGAGTCACTTACGTCTGGTCGTAACCATCAGGCTGGAAGCAAGGATCCCAGCCAAAGTCTCTGGGGCCTCTGGGTTCAACAATGCGACCCTGCCAATCCAAGGAGGAAGAAATAAGAGGTTTCTCTCTCAGCACTGTTCAGCCACATTTACATTCCCGGTCATTACACACTGAAAAATTAACCTGTTACCTATAAGACTGTTAGTATTCCCCCAAGATAAGGGCAAGTGAAACAACTAGGATTTCTTGGTTTTGTGCTCCATCGCCTTACATCCATGCTGTAAGCAGACAGACCTTCTGCACTGCCCCCCACCTTCCTCTTGTGGGCCTGCTCAACACACATCCCACAGCATTGAGGCTTCAGGGCTCAGCCCCCCAATGAGAATTCCTTACTGACTGAAGGATAAATGAGCAAACAGGCATAGGCTCAGGAGAGAACAACTACAAGGCTAACAGGAGAAAACACTGGGGATGGATGGTGGGAGAAGACAGGTCAGCTACGTTCATTCCTGTGCTGCTCAGTACCAGCAAGACATAGCCAGACTGGGGGTGCTTTTCCCTGAACTCCCTCTAAATTCAAACCAAAACGATAGGGTCTGGAACAACAGACGTCTGAGGAAAGCATTAAATACGTAAAGCTGGGCAACAGGGCTTGGAGCACCACCAGGCACAGGAGTGGAGACAACAACATGGAGGATAATTCAAAACCTTCAGTGTTTTCCAACTCAGGTACCCCGGCACCACGATGAGTAGCCTGATCTTCAGCATCCCCATCTCTCCCTGATGTCTTTGGAAGTCGCAAGTGCTCAGCAACATTGGGAAATCAGGCCATTTACGGAGGTGACTAAGTACGGAGGTACACGGCCAAGCTCAGCCACTTGTGTCTTAAAATTCTGCCTTAGTGGAACCAGCGTCGTGAATGGACTCGTGTTACAAGCCCCCCCAAGCTCCGAGCCTACTCTTTCTGCATGAGCTCCTTTCTCACAGAGATCCAAATACTTACACAAGTTTGGCCTCTGAACAGCTTTACCGGGTCCTCTGGATTTCCCGTGCTGAATGCAAAGGTGCAGAGAGCATACGCAGACTTGTCTTCAAACCCCGCCAACAGTTTGTGCAGACCTGAGCAAAGGAAAGATTCTGTCATCTCCGTGTTCCGCCCGGCACACAGTATAGCTGACAAGAGGCAATCTGCAAAGAGGGGAGGGGGAACCCCACACAAATAACATTTTGTGTCCCCGTGACAGGCTTCCCACAGACTGCATCCACACTGACGAGGGGGAGGGAGTATTTCCGGGATTAAGCAGTGAATGGAGTATCCCAAGGGTATTCCAGAGACTGGTGGTGAGGATTCCTGGGCTCTACTCATGACTCTTCCAGAGAATCCTTAAAAACACTCATTAACTCCTTTGTAAAGGGTTTTGTGATGAGATGCTACATAACTGCCTAGGTCCCTAGGATAACAGTTTTCTTCAGCTGATACTAAGGTTACATCTCCTGTAACTTGTGGCCAGTCTGTTTCCCACCATCCATGATTGCGACAGCATTATGCAGCAGAGAGGGAGGTTTTGGAGTGGAGAGCAGGGCTGAGTTGAATATCCATGTAATGAGGCTCTCGGCTAAGTCTCCTGCAGGGACAGAACCCAGGACCTCTGGATCTAAAAGTAGGACGAGCTACAACTAAAGAACCAGATCACTGTGCTTGGAGACAGTAGCAAACTTGTATGTGGTCCAGCCACTAGAGAATCCAAGCCCTGCATGATGTTAGCATGGGCTACATGCACCTTTTGTATAGTTAGTAATTCACTGACATGTTCCCTCTTTCCGTAACTGAGTGCCCGGGACAATGGGAGTAAACACAGCTCACCACACTCTGGGATTAACACGTTAGTTTGTGTGGAGCTCTTACAGATGCTGAAGGCTGAAAACTGCCCTGCAGCTCTCAAGGGTGAAGAGATCACCATAATGAGTGATGCAGTATTTACAAACCCTGCTGCCTACCTGGGAATCCTCCTCTAAGGTCACCTTTAAAGCCAGCAATTCGCTTTGCAGTTCCCACCCAACCGCCCTCCCACTCACTTGGCTGTCCCCCAAACCATCTGCAATAGGAATGCCCCTTAAATGGCTTTGAGAGATGCCTGGTGCAAGGGACCAATGGCCAAGGCTCACTGGTCAACATCAATTGGTCATAGGTATGATGGCGCCTGCTCTGAAGAGCTGCCACCTGAAACTGATCACAGGATCAGAAAGTGGAGGAAAGATACCAAGGTCGGGGGTGGGGGACACAAAAATAATAATGCCTGGGTGATTCAATATGCATCAGATTCATTCCCATTTTTCTTTGTGTGGTTTTTCAAACCTGCATAAAAGGCAGGCAAGAGCTGGCGAGGGCAAAGAAAAGGGAAGTTGATTTGGAGAGGCCGATTTGTGGCATGCAGGGTCCAGGAGAACTCCCGAGGACTGGGCACAGGGTGAGCCAGGCAGAAGACAATGAAGAAGGCACAGGGACCATCAGGAGTTGTGGGTGACCAGTGATGAGGTGCAGGTAGGGACAGAACTATAAGGAGCCTTGAAAGCAAAGATGAAAAGCTGATGCAGGAAGAGAAACCAAGGAAAGAGGTTAGAAGGGGAGTTTGGAGGTACTGGAGAGAGGTGAGCTGGGCGACAGGAGGATCAGTAAAAAGCAGCTCAGGAAGGAACATACAGGGGATGTATGACTTCAGGGTAGGTTGGAAATGTACAGGATTCAGTGTAAGTCTGGATGTGAGGGGGGAAGAAAGGAGGCCGGGGTAACACTAAAATTGTGGTCCCGTGTTGCCATGTTGTACTGATAACTGCAGGGTAATTAGGAAGAGAGGATCTCGGTACAAAGGCAGACTGGAGTCTGAAGAGAGAGGGAGAGGTAGATGTGAGAGTCACGGCACAGAGACGGTTACTGAAGCCATGATTTTACCCACTGACAAGGTGCAGATGGAGCAGAGGTGTCAAGTATCAGAGGGGTAGCCGTGTTAGTCTGAATCTGCAAAAGCGGCGAGGAGTCCTGTGGCACCTTATAGACTAACCGAAGTGTTGGAGCATAAGCTTATGCTCCAACACTTCGGTTAGTCTATAAGGTGCCACAGGACTCCTCAATGGAACAGAGGGAGAGGCTAAGGGCAGAACATGAAGGGAGACAAGCAGACTGTGGGGAATGGGGAGAAGGAGTGATCCCAGAATTGGGAAGGAACCAGTCAAGTGCAGAATAGGAATGTTAGGAAGCAAGTAAATAGCTAATCCTGAAGTCAATAGAATATGTATCAACAACATAATTAGTCAATAAGGGAGAAAGTCTCCGGGAGCTACCCACATTGCAACTCTGCAGTTTAAATGTAGTTAGACCAGGTCAGCAGACAGCCCAGCTCCTACTACATATAAACTGCAGACCTGCAGGCGGGGGTAGCTCCTGTATCCAGCGCATGCCAGGACTAAGCTGTGCTTGCTCAGTCCCAGCTCACACTGGGTACAGCAGCCCCTGTCCACAGGTGGTGCCAGCTTTTAAGCTGGCTCCCCGCAGCACCGGCTCCTACTCCCTACCTGCCCCGCTGTCTATGATAGAGGCAGGAAGGGGGGGGAAGGGGAAGAAATGTGAGTAGTCAACTAGGGATGTAAGCGACTAGTCATTTCCCCCGCTTAAAAGCTGGCTTCCCCCAGCACCGTCTCCGCAGGGGCAGGGGAGGCAAGGGACAGTGGGGAAATGGCACAAGCGGGGATTGAAACAGTCCCCAGTTGTGCCAGTCCCAATGCTGCTCCTCTCCCTTTAAAATGTACAAGAGTCACCCGCAGCTCTTGTACTTTTCAGAGGAAGAGGCACAGAGGGGAACCCATGCCAGCAGGGAATGCTTTGCTCCCCGCAGCCTCTCTCCCTTTGAAATGTATAAGAGCCAGGGTGAACCTGCAGACCTGCAGGCGGGGGTAGCTCCTGTATCCAGCGCATGCCAGGACTAAGCTGTGCTTGCTCAGTCCCAGCTCACACTGGGTACAGCAGCCCCTGTCCACAGGTGGTGCCAGCTTTTAAGCTGGCTCCCCGCAGCACCGGCTCCTACTCCCTACCTGCCCCGCTGTCTATGATAGAGGCAGGAAGGGGGGGGAAGGGGAAGAAATGTGAGTAGTCAACTAGGGATGTAAGCGACTAGTCATTTCCCCCGCTTAAAAGCTGGCTTCCCCCAGCACCGTCTCCGCAGGGGCAGGGGAGGCAAGGGACAGTGGGGAAATGGCACAAGCGGGGATTGAAACAGTCCCCAGTTGTGCCAGTCCCAATGCTGCTCCTCTCCCTTTAAAATGTACAAGAGTCACCCGCAGCTCTTGTACTTTTCAGAGGAAGAGGCACAGAGGGGAACCCATGCCAGCAGGGAATGCTTTGCTCCCCGCAGCCTCTCTCCCTTTGAAATGTATAAGAGCCAGGGTGACTCTTGTACATTTCAAAGAGTGAGAGGCAGCCAAGCTCTCCCTCTGAAATATACAAGAGTTGCCATTTCCCAGTGTTGCTAGGCTGCACAGGAGTATGTGATTCTGAACAGCAAATCGCATTCAGAGTAGACATCCAAAGGGAAATACCTTCTGGTTTTAACTTCTCTAGAAACCATTTTCTGAAATATAAGAAGAGAACGAGAGTCAGTGGCTGGGTTATTTTCCATCATTGCCATCAACAATGGAAATATGTCTACAAGCTACGTTGGATTTCTCTCTGCAGTTTTCCTGGTACTATGAATCCCTGTTGAATTTGCACTTTTTAATAAGCACACTCTGTATTATATATTAAACATTAAAATATACAGATTTAGGCTTCAAACCAGGAAGATACAGACCCCTGTAGGTCACCTGAAACCAATGGGGCTCCTCGCTTGGCTAGAGGTCACTGGCATTCAGTTCATTGCAGGATTGGGCCTATTTCTTAAGTAAAGATACTATTCCAGTTCTTCTGTTATTCTGATGACATGCCAGCCTATTGCGTAGCACCACCTAGGAGGGATGTAAAATCCCATTTAATTAGTTAACTGGTTAAACATGATGTTTAACCAATTAACTGATTAAACAAGACCCAGAACCACTCTAGCCCAGCTGGGCTGGAGTGCACCAGACCTGCCACAGGCCCCATGGGGCTGAAGCAGCCACCTGCCTATAGTGGGCTGTTCCAGCCCCCACCTTTTAATTGTAATCAGTAAGCCTCACCCATTAAGATTAGGCTTACTGGTTAACCAATTAACCACTCACATCCTTACCACCTACCATGTATATTCAATACTTTAGAGAGGACCCATAGAGAAGAAATAATAGCTACCTTGCAGAGGTGTGTTTGTAAAATACTTGGGAGATCTTTAAATAAAGAGAACTAACCAAGTGCTAAGTATTCCTGAGGCCAAATGTTCATAAGAGTAATTCCCACAAACTAACAGTTAGATGGTTACAAAAAATCCTTCATTTTAAGATTTTTTTTCCTCCTTCCAGAATCACTAAGCCAATTATCTCACATTTGGGGTGTGGCCATATGCTGAGTTTCATTGTATATGAGTTGCAGAAGTAAATAATCACATTCCGCCTTCTATGTTTTCTACACTGGGAACCTGAATAGGCAGAGAAAATTGTAGAGAAATTGCAAAACTTAAAAGCAATGCCCAGGGCTATGGCAGGGCTTTGCTAGAGTAGTTCTGAGTGATTACATTTACAAATCCTGTCACCTGTTTAACTACAGCAGCCTCATGGGCCCATTATACAACAAAATAAATTCAGTGATTTGAATGAACAAAACCATTTTTTTCCTCTGCTGAAGTGGTAGACTGGACAGAATTCCTGCCCAGATGACTTCAGTGTATTTACACAAAGGATGAACTCGGTCCAAGCACTTTAAACCATCATTTTAGTTTAAGACTGACTCTGCAAATGATGTCTGTGCAAAGCCTGTGGGCAATGTGCAGGGAATCCCTGTGGATTTCTTTGAAGGCCAGGTCCTAGAAGGGAGGCAGGAGCAGTACGCAGTAGTTGGGAGTAAGTTAGGATCACTGACTTACTCCCAACCATCCCATACACTATGAATTAAGTGGAAAGCAGGGACCAAAGAAATACAAGTCCCCTCCCTTCAGGATGAAGCTACAGAGCTACTCAGCAAACAACACACAAGAAAATTATGCTCTTGGGCTATGTCTAGACTGCCCCCTCTTGCACAAGAGAATACACAAATGAGGCGAAGCGCCTCAGTTGTACACTTAATGAGCTGCCATTTTTGCACAAAACCCCCCTCTTGCACAAGAGCCGTTCTGCTGCTTTTTTTCAGGCAGAACAGCTCTTGCGCAAGAGGGGAGTTTTGCACAAAAAAGGTGGCTCATTAAGTGTGCAAATGAGGCATGGCAATATTCACCACTTTGCCTCATTTGCATATTCTCTTAAGCAAGAGGGGGCAATCTAGATGCAGCCTACATGTTTGGAGAGCCCCACAGGAAGCACATCTCAATAGCCTACATCCACAGTCATAGCGCAGTGCAGTAAAGAGCTACAAGCATATTCACTCCTACTTACATGTATGGCCCTGGGAGGCCCCCCAAGGCATTAAAACACAAACTGGTGTCTTCCACTATAACAGGACCCTGAATCTGCAGAGTGGAAGTCAAAGAAACAGAAATATTAGATTCAGCTGCCTTTTTGGGTACAACCCATTATGTTCCCAGATGATGTTAAAGCTGTGGTGTCCACCCAGTTCTGAAGCAGTAGCTACTACTATAGCCAAATAGCCACATTGTTCAAGCCAAAACTAGCAGGCGAATAAAGGGCCTTTGCTGTGGAAGACCCCATCTTTGAAATAATTTGATTTGTTTAGTTTGGAAAAGAGAAGACAAAGGGGACATGATAGCAGCTTTTAAGTACCTAAAGTACCTTAAGTACTAGGGTGTTACAAGGAGGAAGAAGAAAAATTGTTCTCCTTAACCTCTGATAATAGGACAAGAAGTAATGGGCTTAAATTTGCAGCAAGAGGGGTTTAGGTTGGATATTAGGAAAAACATCCTCTCAGGGTGGTTAACTGCTGGAATAAATTGCCTAGGGAGGTTGTGGAATCTCCATCATTAGAAATTTGATGGAGTTTAGATAAACATCTGTCAGGGATGATTTAGATGGTACTTCAGTCCCCTGCCCTCATGGCAGGACTGATTTGATGAACTCTCAAGGTTCCTCCAAGTTCCAGTGTTCTACAATTCTATTATCTGAATATTACTTGTAAATGCCTCTGTTATAATTTCTCTGTAGTTATATATAAATCTTCTAAGTCCTTTTTGTTGGCACAATCAGTCCAAGCCCATTTAATTCCTCAGATCCAAATCTGTACCGAACAGGTGGGTTGTCATACAATGGTTGAGAGCTGAGCCATTTAGCCTAAATTCTTGGCTAATTTGAATTCATTTTTGATTGACATCTGTAGAAGCGTGAAAAAGGAAATGACCTGGTTTGCTGCTTCCCGGCATTTCTGAATGGAGATATCGTCTGGTTCCCCTTGGTATTCCGGCACTGCAACAAGAGGATTTATTGCGAGGGGAGAGTTGGCCAACAGCAGCTGAAACTTTACTGACAACGAGCAAGAACCAAAGCCAGGGACTTACAGTCAATTTTTTTTGCAACCAGTTTGTACGGAAAGGCATCCCCGAGGATCTGAAGGACCTGTTGGGCACAAGACAACAGCCATTCAGCCATGGGGCCAGCGCCTAGCTCAGCATGTGCAATATTGGGGGGCTGGTTTGATCTAATCCCCATCCCCTCCCCCAGGAACAGGGGCTCTCACCACGCATCCACCTAGGAGCCAGGCACTACAGAGCGTGGGGTAGGGGACAGCAGGGCAGGCACTAAGGCACCAATGGACGGGAGAACGTTTGGCGGGAACCAGGGACAAGGTGCCCCCCCCGGCTCGTTCGGCGCCAAGTTCAATCGGGTTGTTAACTCTGGAACCTAATGACGGCATAGTATGCTCCCCCTCCCTCCCCGGCCGAGGGGGCGTGACTACGTGTGCCGCTGGGGGCGGGGCTTGGCGGACACCGGGCAGGCACTAAGGCACCAATGGACGGGAGAACGTTTGGCGGGAACCAGGGACAAGGTGCCCCCCCCGGCTCGTTCGGCGCCAAGTTCAATCGGGTTGTTAACTCTGGAACCTAATGACGGCATAGTATGCTCCCCCTCCCTCCCCGGCCGAGGGGGCGTGACTACGTGTGCCGCTGGGGGCGGGGCTTGGCGGACACCCGCTCTGGTACGGTGGCCCCCCCCCGCGTCCAATCCGCGCAGTTGCCCCCACCTCCTCCAGCTTCTTGGCATTGCCGGTCACGAACACCACGTTCCTCCCGGCCATCGCAGAGCCACAGCGTCTGCGCGCTGACCAGCCAATCACAGCCTCGCCGCCCGGCAACCGGGGCAACGCGCGGAACCGTCCAATGAGAGAGGAGCCACGAGGAGCCGACA